AAAAATATGATAAGCGAAGGAAGTAAAAAAATATGCTTCAATTTAACGAAAAAGTGGTTATAGTAATAAAAAAAGTCTAAACAAAATTCTTTTATAAATTTACTGCTGTGTGCATAAATAAAATAAAGTGAAAGCTTTTGCACATATTAATTATTTTTAATTATATAATTTCAACATCTTATTTTATGCAACATATAATATCACGCCGTTAAATCACTTTGCCCCATATTTGCTCTCATATATGAATTCCTTTGAGCAAACAATTTAAGTTCATTTAAGCTACGACAAGGATAGTGTGTATACCAAATTTCATCCATCCAAAATTTGAGATATTGAACAAACTGATAAGTTATTTATGATATGATATGAAGTGCACATCTATTATGTTTACGCATATGAAAAATATCTTTAAGACAAACTGTTATTAAATTATTATTCGACTTGTATAAGTTAACTTAAAACTTACTTACTCTTCTTTATTTTTAGAAAATATCGATTATAGTAAAATTATGTTATTTATATACAACATTAAATATGTAAAATACAATACAATATATAAAATAATATAATGTACAAACGACACGTATTGATTATAATTTTGTGAAAACATTTGTACTGCTATAATTAAATAAATCTATAGATTCTATAATTGTAAATTCTGTTGCATTTCTCCCTCGATGCATTAATCACTCTTAATCATTCTTTACAATCTTTCCGGATATAAAAATTAGTCGGTTAAAGCGACACTTTAGGTTTCGTTTGAAAAATTGATTCATATAAAAAAATGTGTTTTACTTGACTCGCCATTAATTACATGAGTATAATAAATGTTTGCTGCTTTTCTAGATTGACAAATTTCTTTTCCGAGATAGTTATTCTCGATATGGTTTCTGCCTACAAAATCGAAACTGACTAATCGCAGGATTTAATAAAAGATAGGCAATTATCAAATATGCGTACTTTTAATGATTTAACATGAATAGCTTAGTATAAATATGCTATAAGAAGAAAATTAATACAAATTAATTATCACAAATTAATTAATTTTAATGCGTGTTTAAATTATTCGGAAAAAATGTTTTACATTGGAAAATATATTATCATCGTTACAAAAAAGTAATGCAACAAAGTGGAAAATATTTTATTCATTAATCTTTAAATCCAATATGAAATTGTATGTTTTCATTACGTGCGTTTTTAATTTTAGAGATGCAGACGATGAAGAAATATTTTAGTTAAAAAATAAAAAAAAATAAAAATAAAAAAAAAGAAAATCTACACGTTTTCGCATTTCCCGTGCACAAGCTAAAATGGTGGAAACGGTTGAAAAACACATGCGAAATCAGTGGCTCTCTTATCGTCTTGTCGTCATTTCATCCCTCTTCGTCATTTCGCGGTGGTGTTTGTTCAGCCGCTAAATGGCATCCACCTTCTCTCTTGATGAATCCTCTCCGCTTTCTCCACCCGTTGCTTTTCGATTGCTGCGACAGCGCGCTCTCATTTGCGGCTGTTATCTGTGTGCGCGATATCTGTGATCATGTGACAGCTCTTAATGCATGCATTTTAGCCTTCAGCAAAACGTTCAGCATTAATTGCCAGAGATAATAATATTCATGGCGAAGACAAGCGTTATGATATATTTCACACACATTTGTGTCTTCCTTAAATATTTAAATATTTGAAAGATTTTTATTAATAATACTATCAATTTTTCTAATACTTCTTAAATATTTCATGTTACTCATTATTATTTATATCTGCTGTTTTATATGTAATAAAATATTTTAAAATAGTTTAAAATAGTTTAGAATAGTAGACTATTTTAGTAGATATTTATTCTGCATCTGTGCATTGTTTAGACTTTTTAATATATTTAAATATTCAACGATTCCTAAATAAATTCCTAAAATAATTCCTAAAATAAAAGGATTAATATTATATATCTTTTTAATTCTAATATTAAATCTTTTTAAATTTTCTAACATTACATATAACTTAATATTTTCGCTAATTTTTCGATTCAGATAATTATCATTAGAAAGAGAGAGAGAGAGAGAGAGAGAGAGACAGAGAGAGAGAGAGAGAGAAATTAATTCTCTAATGCACTCATTTCTATTCAATGTGCGTTTCATATTATATTCCAATTATAATATATATGAATAATTATAATGTACTCTTATAATAATAATCATAATTACAATTCGGTCGCATATTCGAACGTCATATAATCTGTAATTATCTGTAAGATAATTGATACGTGATATTCGTTACAGGAAATTCTGTCCGCTAATCCAATAATAATATTTTCATCTCATATTATTTCACCGAATATGAACTACTGTCACTGATTTTTTTACGATATTTATTTATGGAACACAAACGCAGCCCAATTTTAATTTCACAATCAACGCGCGTGTCCATTGTCAGCAAACTGTAAGCCATTAGTTTGATTGCATTAATCTCAAAATAGTCACGTCCGCCACGTCTGAACGCTATTTCTCGAATAACGTTTATGCACGACGTGTCGCGTATGATTTAGGTATAATCGCTGTCTCTTCTTGGAAATCTTACTGTTGGAAATATGTCATCGGATCTATTCACGAAGATTTAGAATTTTCCAAAAATTTGATGTAACGCAACTCTGAAACGCGAGAATTCTTCTTCTGACATTTCATACGTTCGAATCTATAATATCGAATTCTACAAGCTGTATAGATATATACAAATATTGCAAAACAACAAAAATCCGACATAATAACATGATAACAATTAAAGTACCGATGAGAAATTACATACAATTCTGTATTTGCGATGTAATTGCATCTCTTGCATTATGCTGCATAAAATGTTTCGCAATTCACCATCCTATCGTCGGCAATATGCCACGAAATTAGCCAAGCGCCAGCATTAATCTATCCGCCCTGTGAAAATCATGATATCAAACATTAACAAGTCTGACGGCTCTTTTAACAGCGAGTGCTTTCGACGCGCGTTACGGTCCAAATGAATGATACGCTAAAATGAAACTTCGGTTATTCTCATTCGCCTTTTATTCGCACGTGCAGCACAATCAATATCAAGTAACACTATTCGTAGAGCGCGGATTTTTATATTAAAAACGATATTGCAATTATATTGAGACAGCGGGATAGTATGTTTGCTTTTCCTACATATTCACGAATATTTATATAAGATATATTTATATAAGATATAAGATAAAATTTTGAAGTGCTTATTTCAAATTAATTAATCATAAATTAGTTGAATTAATTTAATTGAATGTATCACTTGCAAATAGTTGCCGAATGTTATATTAATTTTAATATCCAATATTAAAATTTAATTAAGATCTGTGCAAACAACGTCATTTTTTTATAAAAAGTTAAGTTTAAAGTAAATTAAGCATTTTTGCATTTTTAAAGACTTCAGCTTTTGCGAATCTATTTTTACGATTTGATCCACAGAAATTATTTATATTTCATCATAGAAATTTCTAAAATGGGAGTCAGTAACAGAACATCTTCTCGATGCTCATTCGATATTGGGGAAATCATTACAAAAGGGGTTCGCCCTTTGAGTTTCATCCTTAATCCTACTTGGGTATATATGTAGACGATATCTGCGATTTGAGTAAATTAATTTGCGTGTTTCTGACGCGACTTTGACCTTTCAATTTTAGATGAAAAACAGTACCCGTTTTTGACTTGCTCTTCCCTTGTTACGAGTATCTAAAGGAACACAAATCGCCGGAAGTAGTATTTGTTTAATTAATTACGCAAGCAAAGGCACGATATCGGTGTTGGTTAATTATTAAATTAAGAAAAAATTATTAAGAAGTTTTCAGTCAATTTATCACTGCGAAATATTAGGCCGTTTTTGTTCCGTTTTGAATATAAAATTTTTGCTAGATATGAAAAATGTCTTACAAAAATTTCACGTGACTACTAGTTTTATTGATCGTAACGAGATATAAAACATGTTGTTACACGAAACAGTCTCATATTTATCAGTCATACGAAACAACTAGCAGCGAATAAATATACATCATGCGAAGGACGCTTTTTCCATTCTCCAACTCTTATTTTGTTACCTTACTTACACCGATAAATCTATTGAGCGAGTTACCATCGACCCCTTTTTTCCTTTCGACCGACGCGACAACGCTCCCCAACGCCATCCAACATCTCTTTCGAAATAAACATCGTGAAGCAGCCATAGGGAAATGTCGGCAAATCACAATCGGGGGTCGCTCGTGCAGAGGTAACAATGGCTGGCGGTGGACAAAGGAATTCACTATCAATAGGGCAACCCCTTCGTCTGTCTGACAATTAACCCTTTCGAATTCTCGGTTCCTCGCTTTCTTGAAAATCGACGCGCGCCTCTCGCGAGAGGGCTGCTCGCCCCTGACAATGGAAAAATATTTTTGGCCGGTTTCCAATTTGAATAACGCGCATTAATTTTCTATTTTACAAAAGACGATTTTCTTTACGCGTTATAAAAAAATTAATTTCTCTTCAAAAGAAAGGCTATATGAGAAAAAAAATAATATTCATATGGAAATAAATTGATTTCAATTAATTAATTAATTATCACACATAAGAATATCAAAATTTTATTGCATTATACGTATTGTTTGAAGCAATACTTTTACGAAAAACTGAGTATATTCAAAATCCGCAGCCGATATGTTTGCCAGTACATAATACCTTGGCACTCCATAGGTAGACAATAGATTTCGGGGGCCGTTATTAATGAGGATATATACCGTCTTATTTGTTCGACAATTAACCTCTGGCTGCCTCTGGCTCAAGCAGAATTTGCGTAAGATGATCTATAATGCATATTTTAACTACGCTGAATTATATATCTTTTTATTAAAGCTCTAGCGTTACCAAATTACATGTTATCTACTGTATTTTTAATTAAAGTCCAGAAAATCTAAATAAACATCTATGTTCAGATTTATATTTTAAAACACAATTAGATTTTGCTAGTGTTACCTGTGCATCTGCAAGGATGCGCCGCATCAAGGCCAGGGTGGGGTTCGTTGTGAGATCATCTTGAAGGGCAAGCGCCTCACCTTCCTTGTTCAAACGGTTCAAAGTCTTGAGAGCTGCAACAAAGGAGAAACACCAATTACAAACGATATGTAATAGCAAAAATCGATATTGTATGCCTGTTAATTACAGGAAAACCTAAAATTTTTAAATTTACACATCTCTCTAGAAAATATCCGATAAAAAGAAACGTTCTTATACACACTGGCATTACGGTATTTTACAGTTCATTCGAGACACGTAATGTGCCATTTGGCGGTGATCGAACTTTGCGGAAATTATTGGCACGTGAAGGGCACTCGGTGGGTATGTGCATCATTGGGTCGCGTTAAGCCTTTCATCCGAGACATGCGAGGAGTCAGAGAATTCTCGAGTCCGGACCCCAAGATGGCCGATCTCCCGGCTCGTTCGTCTCGTATTATCTTCACCCGGCCGGTGGTTCGAACGGCGGGATAATTGAATTCCCGTGGTAGTCGGTGGTCGGTGGCGCGAAGGTGGAAAGGCCCGGGGGTTGCCAAACTGTTATCGACAACTTCGTGAGAGAAGCTCGTTTCGCAGAGGTGCCTGAGCAAGCTTAGGATACATTGCTTCCGCGATATCGCGCCGAAGCGATGTTCTTTATACATTTCAAAAATGTACGATGTACTTTCATACTTTGATCGTATTTTGTATATTTTCGAGTCTATATAAAATTAGACGTTATGCTTGTGCATTGTACTATGCGTTGATAGAATTAATAGGAGAATTAACAGGAAAATTTTATTTTATCCCAAAAGGTTTCTGTTGCTTTTATAATACCATCAAAAGAAAACGGTAATTGCACTCTGATAAACGACCAGTCTTCTCTGCAGGTATACTGTGTGTATATTTTGTGTGTGAGAAAGAGAAGAGTGACGGTAAAATTATAATACTGTATAATAAATTCCCCAGACCTCTCCGCACGAGCTTAAACGCAAATTTAGCGAGCTACATATGCAGTTGCGATGCGATCTCGGCTTTGATGTGGCGTAAGCAAAATTCGAGGTGAATCTAAACGCACGAGGAATTTCGAGATATATATATTATAACGAATCTTGTTAAAAATGCATTTCGACTTTGGAATACGACGGTGACGAAGAAACGCAATTTTCAAATTAATACGGTTAACGTCACATTGAGCAATTCGGTCGAAAATTACTATAAAAAAAAACTCGCAATTTATATTATCGAAAGATATTAAATTATCCAAAGCGAATCGCGAACTGCGCGAAAGTGCTTAATTGTATTAACGGTATGTTTTTCATTGTCACGCACCGCTGCTCTCTATAATAATTTAATGACGCTTACGATTAATTTAGCTTCAATTGTGTGCGCAGTTTTTTTTACAGAAATTTCGAAGTTTTAATTCAAGTACGGAACAAATTTGCTGTTTTGTCGCGTAATCGTCGTCGCAAAGGAGATCGGGAACAAATCTGACGCGATTAGAGAGCGTATTATTTGTTGCGTCAGAGTTGCAACTAAATGCAATTAAACTGCCGCTTGTGTCGGAGCGGAGGAAGTTCTGGACTGCACCAGGGAAACATGTTTTATCGACAAGTCTTGTTTACCGAAGACAAAGGTCCTTCTTGTCGATAAGATACGAATCCTAGATTGTCAAACGTCTTTCGAACAGATCCTCGGACAGCTCTGCAAAGCCCTCGAAAGACGAACGTATTATTGCCGTATCTCAAGAAACGACTAGTTGTAAAATTGCTTCTTTCTCACGAAGATTGAACGAAATTGAACATTACAGAAATATGTATTAGCAGTAAACAAAAAACGAGATAATTTAGCAGCTGTGTCGTTATTTTATACAGTTTTCCTTTATTAAGTTTTTCTTTATTTATCTTTTTCTCAAAAAAAAAAAATAATTATTAATAAAAATGTCTAAAATATAATTTAAAAACGTGTCCGTAAGTTGAAATAAAAATATTGAGTCATTCTGACATTTATGAGTTAAACGGATTAATAGTTTTTTGATTTCGATTTAAGTGATTTGCGATTACCGTCAACTCAGATTTCTGTCTGTCATCTTTAAATCGATTTTGATTGCGGATGAGCAGAGAAAAACACGCTCGAACGAGTAGATCGGCAAACCCCTTTCCTTCACGGAAGTCTAATCTCGAGATTGTAGCGGTTCTTCAAACACTGCAGGAAACACTCTCACATCAGAAACATCGAGCATCCTCACCGAATAATCTCCCGCGATCGTTACTGCCCTAAAAGAAGGAAACTCGGTAGTGCTTCATGCCGGAGATTCTCGACTAAGCAGCTGTACATTTTTACATTAAATATTAACCGTAATCATTCTGTAATTTCAAGTAACTTTAAGACAGGAAGAATGTACATCCATCAAATGTTTACAAATGCGAGTAAAAAAATTAATTATATTTTTCCAAAATGAATTATAAAAAAAAATAAATTTTAAAAAGTGTAATCATTAAAAAAAAATCTTTATTCACAAGATGCAAAATAAAATATAAGAAAAAAATCAATTTTTGTCAAAAATTATTTTATAGATTAAATTAGACTTAAATTTTTTTTAAACGTTAACGTTATCAAATCATCATTGAATCATCACGTGGTGTCAAAGTGACTAGGGTGGTTTCATAAATTTTCTGAAATTCCCGTTTATGGCATCTTCGCGAAGCCGGCGAGTGCGGAATGAATCAGCTCGTCGACACGAGCCACCGGAACGATAAATCTCGCGTGCAACGCGAAGCGAAACGTGCTCTCGCGAAAGTAGACGACCGCGTTGAAATATTCCGCGCGATGTCGATACGCGGGGTCGGCCACGTGTAGCGTCTCGTTTCGACACACCTACAGCACCCCGGTTTGCAGTCAGTATACGCGTCAAAAGTGCACAGCGAGTTCACGTGGTCCTGGATGGCTCTTCCAGGTCGGAAGAATATAGGTCTACCGCAAACACGGAGAGAAATAGGCACGCCTCCATCGTTTCCTCGGCGCAGCGGGGGATCGTTCTGATATATGGCGCGCACCGATATTATGCGCCTCCCGTGTGTCGGAAGCGAGATTCTTTATGAGCTTTTACACCGACTCGGAATTATCGAGGTCGTGCGGCCGGCTAATGCGAAACAGGAACTCCTTTATGGCGTTCGGCGCAGATAAAGCGATACTCGATAGCGCTCCGTTTCACGGAGCGGTAAAGGGTTGCTTTACGATGGGAGACGTTGGCTTAACGGAGACCGTAATTATATTCGAGAGAAATCGAGTATTCACGGATACCTCGCCTGATATCGTCTGGAAGTTAATGCGCGTCGATGGTTACACCGGCGTATTTACATAATGCATAACGCGAAGCTAAGATTTCGTTTCGCGTGCGCGGTTTAAAAATGCAACGCGGCGATCACAAATCATAACCGCGACACGTATCATTCTGACTTCCGGGATAATCGAGACGTGTGCGTGTAGGTGTGTGTGTGTGTGTGTGTGTGTGTGTGTGTGTGTGTGTGTGTGTGTGTGTGTGCGCGCGCGCGCGCGCGCGCGCGCGTGCGTGTTACGACCTTTTGGATCCGCTATCTATCACGTCTTGCAATTCTAACTTTCTCAACGTCGAGGAAAATGAATGACTGGTCTGACAAGCAATGAAAGTTAAATCGCAGGAGAGCAGAATAGCATAAATCTTGCCAGAAAATTAACGAAGTTTGACGTTTGAATCGACGAACCGACTTGTATCGACGAATCTATCCTTCCGATTATAAAATTAAGATTTTGCAACGTTGTTGCTTCTACATCCAGGATATCCCGAGCGTTAATTGTTTAACGAAAATTTTAATAACCGCACTTTAATACAGAAACAGTATTCCGATTGCACGGCGCCCATCTTAATGCATCCCGACGTATCGCAATGAGTTCGCGTAATCCTCGAGACACAGGTACCAGAATTACCTTGTGCTTAATATATATCCGGTAGAGCGTATAGTTTACCGGTATGACTTCCGTACAGCGGCGCGTATGCGCCGCCCTGGATGGAAGCAGGATTAATGGATTAGCAATGTTTTGAATTACAAGCGAAGTGTAAGCGGGGCAAATATTCTCTCTCTCCAATTAGAATAGAATTCTACGGCAGTACGAAGCTTTGAGTTACGGCGAAATCGGCGCACCTGCAAGAGCCCGGAGAGTCGCCGGGGTGATCCTTTATAAATGCAGACTATTCCGCCGGCGTGCGCCGCACAACGGAAGTTCATTCATTTTACATAAGGCACAAATCTGTCGTCCGAATATTAAGAGAAAAGAGATAGACGAAATGAACGTAGTTTATTATCGCCGTTGTAAATTGGGAAAACCTCAAAGCTCTTAACCGCAAAGGATTTTTCTCTCGTTCTTTTTTTTTTTTTTTTTTATTAGTTATATGTGCTGTCCCGATCGAAGATATATTAAGGTTGAAGCAGACTGCAACAAGGAATTATCTGATGTATGGCCTACGCGATATATTACAGTATCTATTCAGCGAAAGCGAGATTCTTTATGGTTTATTACACCCGTTGTGGAAGCATATCGAGCTTACCGCGAGAATGCATACAAATGCGCAAACCGAAGTAGATATTATTGACATGAGCGATGTACATGGCAATAAAAGTCATAACGAGATATGATGCATTTTATAACACACACACACACATATATATATATATATATATATATATATATATATGAAGTATCATACGCTTTCTTTTCTTGAAATTATGTGATCCAAGACCGTCAGCGTGATATAAAGCTAGCGCGGTAAAGCGAAGCGTGATATTAAAAACGACTTATACGATATACTTAAGTAAATATATAATTAAAGAGCAATTAATAAGCGTAACTATATGATACATTGGAACGCGGGACACCGTGTATGTTTTGCCTCCGGCTTTGATTGACGTCCTTTCCAAGATAAGCCCGTAAGTGCCTCGAATTTCCGGCGGAAACTTCGCATGGCGGATGCCAAGCTTGAAACCTAGCACGATGTTTATCTTCCCAAGCACCGCGGGGGAGAATCCCGTGTGTAACACCACAACCTGCCCGAGAGTGA